CGCACCGGCTAGTCTGGTGCGCGTTGCCATTTATTCGCACTGCATTGCTGCAAAAAACGCATAAAATTGATCAGTTTCTGTTTAACGGTCGTCCCTTCAAAATGACCTGGCCGTGCAGTAAGTAATTTTTTCGCTGAAACTTTTAATTCCCCGTATGTGAGGACCACGCGTACCTGAGGGCTGAATTTGAAATCTTCAGGCTGTGCGTGAAAGGGCGGGGAGGGGGAAGGAACACCCTTTTAAAATTTCAGCCTTCCAGCTTTTCTTTTTACCGACTTAGCAATTTTCTCGCCAAATCTTTCGGGCGCTCGTACATGAGAACCACGAACATCCAGGGGTAGAATTTGAAATCTTTAGCTTACACATGCACAGAGAATATCCCTGCAAAGATTCAGTTGTCTATTTTGTCTGGTCCCCGAGGTCGCTTTACGTCAAAAAATTTGCGTATTTTTTTGAAACGTCTGTGCATCCGGACCAAGGCTTACACGGGTGATAACATAAAAATGAAAAGGTCGCACAAGTAGTGGGCACATACTCCCGAAGTTTCAGCTTTCTAGCTTTTCTGATTCTCGAGTTAGTGGATGACAAAAAATGCGAACGCGGACACACACATCAATACAGAAAGCCAAAATGCATTTTTGCATTTACATATATGCGAAAACACAAGAAAAAAGTGCGGAAGGCTTCAGTTTGACTGTCATTTTCCAGATTCACTGGTCCTGAATTTTAGGGTCTCGATGAAGCGGAAATCCAGGCAAAGCTAAGGGAATGTCAGGAGCTACTGCAAAGCCAGACGATCTCTGAAGTGAATATCGAAAGCTACATGGGCGCTGGAGACGCACACAGTGGGACGAAAGATGGTGTGCAGGATACAGACCAAATGCGCGATGCGCACGGCATGAAAAATGATGTCGTCGATAAAGAGTTGGTCTAATATGTTTAAAATTTCTCCTAAATTTTTTAGAATTTTTGGAAAGTTAAAAGTCTCGTATTTTTTTTTTTTTTTGCTTCTAGTTTTTCCCGGCTCAAATCTTTCAATTTTCACACTTTCTTTCCGTTTAGGCCAACTTTCAACTTTCACACTTTCTTTCCGTTTGTTTTTTGGATATTTGCAGTGTGTTCATGCGAGTTTACGAATTCACATGTTTGTGTTTTTCTGTAACTGCCCTGCTTTTTTATGAACTTCCACATCTTGTTTCTCACGTGCTGACAAATACAAGATATTTCGGCGGAAAATGGTTTCGAGAGCCAGACAAGATAGAAATTTGAAGTTCTACGAGTGTGACTTGGAAAATTCAACCCTCACGCGCACCTACTTGCGGGCACGACGAATTTCAAATTGAGGCGCTATTGGTATCGTGCCAACTCAAGGGCCAGTTTTGGTAGAAAGCTGTGATTTTGCTAGGATATTTGTTGGGACCATATGTATAAAATGGCGTTTCGCGTGCATCTTGGTCTTTCGTGTAGACTTCTTAAAAATTTTTTTGACGGTACGCGATTTCTGGAATTAGTCGCGCTAGAAAGCTGGAATTTTTAAAAATTTTCTTTGTCCACACGTGCACGCGAAAGAATTTGAATTTCGAATCTCATGTACGCCTGCATTTGGGAGTAAGAACATATGGAAACTGACGCTGATAATTTTATAAATTGGAAGCTCAGATTTCGTGAGTCTGATCTACGCTAATGTGAAGGTGGATATGCGTGAGTGCAGGGCTTTGTTTTAAACTATCGTACATTTGATAGTTGCTGCAAAACCATGCCGAAACATTGCCACAATTGATGAGGAAGTGCTAATTTGGGACGAGAGATACGAAAAAAGAAAGCAGAGGCGATTGTGAAGGCTTTAATGGATTGCGAAATTGACGGTGAGAAGGGAGGAGGAAAAGAAAAGGGCGAAAAGGGGGTGGAGAGGGGGGAGGAGAGGAAAGGGAGGGTTCAAAAAGAACATTTCCACACCAACTGTAATTAGTACCACGTTTCATTTATGGATTAAATATGACAAGGTGTTTGAAACTGATTAAAGATCTCTGAATTTTCAGAATGATGTTGTATTCCCCCCAAATTAGAGTAATCAAAATTCTCAAGTTTTTAAACAGCTTTAATTACAGGTCAAATAAAGGCGCAGAAGGGGATGTGCAGAAGAAGGATGAGGAAGTGAAAGTAGAAGAGGAAACACCCAAAAATGTGAGGATAACTTATTTATGATTTTAAAATTTCGAAGTTTAAATTTTTGTGCTGCACTGCAAGTGCCGCTACTATCAGTTTCATGTTGACCGTTCCAGTTTAGCAGCTCCGAACCCATTTTTCCACAGTTCTTGATTTTTCCTTGATAGTGAAACTCATACACGGCGTTGAAGCCACCTTCCGCTTTCTTTATGCAACTCTTGGAGTAGAGGAAGACAAGGGGCTGGGATGAGGGTCCATAGCGACCTTCCGTTTTCTTTATAAAGCTATAACTTTAAATCAAAGGCTTACAGTTTGTCCTTCACGAATGCAAAAGCAGAGTCAAAAAAATTCCTCTCTGTATTCGCTTGCTCCCATTGAGAAGGAGAGGCATGCGAAGTAGCCGGAGCAGTAGAAAGTGCCAGCAGTAACCACCCACTAGCATGTCTGTCGCTGTCTCTCTCTTCCGAGGGCTTTCATTTCGTTGCTTATATGTAAGCTAAAGAGAGGTATGACTCGCTTTTTCAAGCAGTTTCGACACTTCGATCACCTCTTCATCAGAAAATGATTATATAGCCTAGTGGTAGGTGGAGATTTCTTCCCCTTTTCGAGATCAATATTTGGGAGCTAGTTTTGCGCTCCTTCATCCATACTTAGTTGAGAATTCTCCTAAACCTCAGCTTCCATGCTGACGCGGTCTAGAATTGAGATTTTGCAACAGGCAGATAGAAACTCATACATGCATCGTCCAAATTACACAGAGAGGTGTATTCTGTCACAATGCGTATTGATGCGACTTAATCCTATTAACGAGATCAACGGTACTGTAACTGTGAAGATTAGCTATGTTACAAGTATTGATCGGAATGTCACCACAGACCGATTGTCTTAAGCCCGCTTGCGTTATATAGAAATGAAAATTTGGCTAGAACTGTTGGCTGACTGAGTTTTTCAGACGACGCCGCGTATTCCGGTCATTGATCGCATTAATCGCATACGCCAAGAGATGTCGGTAACTTCTTAACTCGTTTGTTTTTTTTTTGATACTCCGTTGTTTGTTGTTTGTCTTATCGTCTCGACAAGGGACGCAGATTCGATTTTAGTGTTTGACTTGCTTAACAAATTTTGCTATGGTAAAAAATTTGGCTTTTCAACCATTCAAACGATTGTGTTCGCAAGGAGGGCACACGTGGCTTTTCCGCAAACAGTTCTGGTCGAAATTCATTCCTTTTATAGTTCTGCATAGCTTTGCACCAGTTTTACCTGATTTGGAACATTTTTTTCAAAATTTGGTGTTGCTTTCGTACTGAAAGCTGACACTTTGACTTTGTCATTAGGAGAACTAACCTTCATGGGATTCATTCATTCTTTTTATTGGCAAATTGGCGCAGGTGCTTATGAGTTAAAATCACTGTCAGCTTGCGTATAAGCAGTTCTCGGAAGGAGCCTTGCCAGCGCGTGATTGGTACGTGCTTTACCTCAGCCTCCTGCAGAGACTAAATTACAGGGGTTGTTTTGTCCCTTGATCATCAAAAAGACTGGTAGTTCTGAGTAACTCAGGTCACTGTTATAAGACTGTACGTCAGCGAAATTGGACATATACCAGGAATCTGTCTGCATGGTATGCCCTAAAGAGAACAGCATATGAATCGTATGATTCTCCTGGCGCATTTTGTATTTTTACTATGTAATTCAGTGGTTCTCAGCCTGGAGTCCATGGTCCTCCAGGGAACCGCGAAGGCAGACAAACAAGGGACGAAATGAGAATTTTATTAAATTTTCATCAAATTTCAATGTGAAAATTGGCAACAAATTCACAGTTAGCACGTTGAAGCGCCATGAAATCGCCATTTTAGCGAGAAGATGGTTAATGATATCATTTTAAATTTAGTTGAAATCCTTGCAATAAATTATACTATAATAGGTGTATGTATGTATGTATGTATGTACGTGCGTGTGTGTATGCATATTAACAGATTAGCTCATTTCCCCGTCTCGCCAAATTTGAACACTCTTCATAAGAAAACTGAAATATTTGATGCAGTCTAGTTCTTTAATTTTTTTCAATTAAGTCTCGCCGGGCAGCGGTGGCAAAAGGTACTTAAAAGGGGGACCGCGACAGCAAAAGTTACCTAAAAAAGGGAGCCTCGGTGAAAAAGATTGAGTGCTACGAAATGAAGTATCCAGCATTGACTATGGTTCATGGTCTGGTTCTTCAGCTGTGCAACTTTCAACTCTTCTAGTTTCTTTGACCAGCGCAGCATCGTTGGTGGTCAGTCTACTGGCTGTTCACATTTTCACTTCACTTCCTAGAAGAATTACCAACTCAGCAGTTCCTCCCACAGGAGCGCTTGGAGAGGACATGTCATTGTATTATAGGGGTAACATCGGGGACGAGATTTGTGTTGAACGGTACTGTCTTTTCTTTGGTGTTGATGTTACGATGGAATTAGGTACTACTTTTATCGACTTGGGCCTTTCAGTTTTCCGCTTACTTCCTATATCCCAGACTGGTCTTGAGTGTGGCATTGCTACACTCAGCATGTGGGACACCGCAATAACCTCATTCTATAGTTCCCCATACTGATTGTCCGAGCGATAATAAAACCGTCCCAGTTGGTGTATTTCGAATTATTACTGAGAAAACACGAAGTGACATCTTTATATTTTTGTTATAAGTTTGCGGTGGTATTGCGTGAACGACTAAAATTTACTGCTTATGACATGTGCAAAGTGACTTTGTTCCAGATTAGTTCTCCGAGCGACGCGATACTCTCACCGTGTACAAAGAAATTAACTGGACGACGCATGTTTCGTGATCTTTTATCGCGTAGACAGCTTTCATCATTCGTTGGGGGCAAGCTGGACACTGGTGAAGGAGCCCGTGCTGGCAGATTGGAGGCCGAGGAACCAGCAGATGTGAGTGTTGAATGCGAGGCATCCGATGACGAGAAATGGGACGTGAATAATACCAGTTATGATTGAGAGGAGTTAAACAGCAAAAACCGCGCTTGCCGATTTCGTTGTTTTCGGCACTGTTGCCTTTTATTTTAACGTATTTTGTTTCTGTTATATCGCTTCAGTCACTGAGCTTCCCATACACTTCATGCCTTCATTTTATTGTTGTTTGGTCTCTCCTTACATATCCTTGAAATGGGATTTTCAACAGATCTTATTGTAGCATTTTTGATGTTCACTGTTTAATCAATTTGCAGTTTTTTGGCGTACGGATGGATAGCAGCGGATAAAGAGACATCATTATTAGCTCTGGTTTTGTTTTCCAGTCACACTTCTCGCGCCCTCTTTTTTTTTGCTTTTTTTTCTAAATGCTCCTCCTGCCCTTCTTTCTTTTCTTGACACATCCACTGGTCTTATTTTGTTCTGAGATATAGAGCCCTGTTTGGACTTCGTAATTTAGAGCGTTGTTGCGCACTGTTTCTTTTACAATCTGTCTAAGCGAAGACTCCCGCCCCAGAGGTTATGCTCTACGCCTGCTTCGGGACCAGCTGTGCTTCTCTAACTCTGCAACAGCAACTTTTCCAGTGCTCTGTCTATTGTCGCAGTGTCCACTGTAAAGAGCGAGAACTGCCTGTTTTCCGACAGTAACTTTTTGCTGCTGTCCCCTCGCCACATAGCGATAAAAGTTTTTTAAGCGAGAGGACATAGCAGTTCCGGACTGCTTGTGCAGAGCATCCTATTTATACATTATCTGTCAGTTCATGATTTTTTACGCAGATCTACAATGCGCGGCTCGGTGTCGATTCCTTTACGAAGTGCTACTTTGTATAAATAGTATGACGCCACTATTTTTATAGAACAATAAATTAATTTCCCATCCGGCTGGGCACAAATGTGCGCTTGGCTCTTGATCCGATTGTAATTTCAGACCTCGAAGATGTGAATGATAAAAAAAAGTCTTGTAAGTAAGGTAGTATTGTCTGAATTATTGAGAAATATGAATTTGACGTCCCACTCTGACTTTGTACATTTTTAGGGCGATTGGCGGCTTTTCTCCTTTAGAGACCTCAACCGATTCAGTTACGCGGGAGCTGTTATGAGGACTGCTGTTACTCTTTTGAAGCTACGTTCAGCACAAGTAGCAAAATTTTGATCAATAACAATGTACGCAAAGAAGGCACCTCTCCGAAACCAGGAAAGTGCTAGCACCGTAGAGGGAATAAAACAAGAAGAGGTCACGAAGCATGGTGTACTGTTTTTTGCCTAGAAAAGCCTGAAAAAAACCCAGGCTGGAACGCACCAGGCGGGCCGGTGCGATTATGCGTTTTTGCACTTCTCGTG